TTGCTGGTCTTTTAGGGGATGTATAGCAACTACAGTGACTTTAAGGGACTGTGAACAGAACATGCAATTAAACACATCACTTCAGAACTCGAAATGTTATTTTCCTTAATTTTGCATTGACTCCCCCACATTTAGTCCCTGTCAGTTTTCTTCTGCAAAGCTTTCTGTTCCAATTACTGTTCTGTAAATTCAGTCTTATGAAAGAAAGCTGATTCAAAGTTGCAGTTGCTTTAAATAGAAGGTGCTAAAAGTAAAGTGAAAAATCTTTTTAAAAGAGAAGGATGGAGAAGGAATTCTGTTACTAGTGTAAACATCATCTCAAAATGCCATAAACTCTGCTGCAAGTTGCCTGATAAACTGTGATCAAGTGATCATCAAATCCCTCATCCAGATCCCAGATGACCCCTGCCAAGTGCTGTAATTTTGAGACCTGCTGTAATCAGTCCCTATTGCAGGTCACAGTCAGTAGCCCAGTAAATAGCCTTTTTTGGGGGAGCACTGAGACACAGAACTGAAAACTACCTTGGATTTGAAATACTTCTGGTTAAACGTACATCCAGTCTTTTATAAGCTTCAGACACTAAGGAGGGATTCATTTGTTGTCCTTTAGTGCACAAACACATCTGTGTATGGTGACAGTTCTCTTGAGCTCAGACTGCACACTTACTATTGGGTCTCTTACCTGTTCAGTAGTAATTCTGATGTTAAAAAAAGGCTGAATGTGTTTGTTTGCTGATTCCCTCTTCAAGCCATCTTTGAATCAATTCTTTCTCCAAGTACTTGATTCAGTTCTGGCTCTGTAGCAGTAACACAGATGCACAAAGTTCCACTAGTGTGCTTCCTGTGGTAAGTGTGACTGAAGAGCACTTTTTTTTGGGCAAAATGCCCAGCTCCTGTATCGCTGTGCACAGGATGGGAATTGGAAGATGGCTATTGACTCCCCCATCCTATTGGAGTGTTACTGCACGATTGACCTTACTCCTAGGATCTGAGTTATGAGAATAGGTAGGTGTATATCCTTCTGGAGAGCTGGTATCCAAACCTGGCCATGAAATTGAAGCTAAGGGCTCAGGCTGAATAAAGTAAGATTTCAGTTATTCTCTGTATGTCCTGTGTAGAGGCTTGACACCCTTGCAAGGCTTTAATTTTTTAAATTCTGTTTAGATTCTTTTCTGTGGAATTGCAGTCAGCTACTCATGTTTTGTACTTGTGCAGCTGGTTCTTGCTACCAGAGCTTACTGCTTCCCCCTTATCCTTATTGAATTACACCCTTTTTATTTCAGACAATTGCTCCAGTTGGGCAAGATCTTCCTGAATTCTATTCCTGTCCAGAGTACTTGCAGATCATCTGCAGGTATAGAGAGATAGTCTACTCCACTGCCCAAGCAATGGATTAAAGTGTCCCATAGCACATTTGGAGGAGACCCTGGGACAGCACTGGTGAATGATCCTCCCACCGAACCCTCGGAGAGCCACGTGCACAGAGTAGTTGCCAATGGTGGCCTCGCTTTGTATGAGCTGAGCTCTTACCAACAAAAATGTCATGCAAGGTGGCTTTAAAAGCTCAACTCATTTTATGACGTGGTCACATCTCCTGTGGCTTTCTGTATGAGACCTGTCAGTTCTCAGTTCTCAGAAGGAATTTTGGCTGAAGTGAGCTTCTCTAAAGGTCACCCATGTGTGCTTGTCGGGGTAATAAATATGTGCTTCCATTCTTTGGTTTTCCTTAGAGGTATTGAGCATGGATTGTCTGACCTGTTGTTTTCATGTTCTTCAAAGACAGGTGCTTGGGCCTTTTGAATGTTTTACATTCATGTAAGTGAGGTTGAGAGAAGACTATCTGAGGTGGTATGAATTTTTTATTTGGGAAAAAGGTGCTATTTTTCATGTGTTGTTCTTCTTGTTGCCCTCAATTACTGAGGTTGGTCAGTAGTTTGAAACTTGTTCATGAACAAGGATGTTACTAGTTCATTCAAAGGAAGTAGCTGGTAAAAAGGCATCTGTGCAGCAGCTGCTGTGTTGGGCTGATACCCAGTCCAAGCCAGTATCGTTATTTGAACCCAAAGGCATTTATCTGTACACTTGATGATTTGCCAGCTTTCACAGGCATGGTTTCTAGCGAACAGAGCTCTCAAGGGTGAGGTTTGTATTTGGCATACTGTCCTTATGAATGGCAGTGGGAGGATACACTTGCAACTTTTGGGTGAGACTTGGGATGAGGTTTAGGCTTCCCTTTTAAAGGGACAGCTTGATGTCTTGGGCATTCAGGGAACTGAGTAAGTTCTCCTTCCTTAAATTTGGATCAAATTTTCCGTTGCATGAAAACTGTTCTTAGAAACCAGAGCATGGGAGTAAGGTGTGAATATTGGCATTCATGAACTTTTAAAGGACATAAATGCAGTATGTATTGTAGGACTTGTTTATAGAGACATGGAAGCATTTTTGGCCACTTGAGATACACTTTGAATGTTTAAGTGTACTAAGTTAGTTGTCTTTCATAGTCTGGGAATGAAATTCAGCCCATGTACCCTTGGGCATACCTGATCTCTCTCACCAGAGTTGGAGGAAGAGAAATTCTGGAGTATCTTCTGTGGAAGGGTGGGTAGTTGCTTTTTCTCTGGGTCAGCAGCTGGGACATTCCTGTCCTGTCTGGCTCTTGGTTCCACTGTGTCAATCTGCCAAGGACTGGGTCTGAGTCTTGACCTCAGACCTGGCAATCTGCCAGGGAGGAGACACAGGCAATCTGCTTCTCTTGTCCAGGCTGTGTCTGTAGTCACTTAGGGCAGTGTCAGGAGGACTTGTGGGGCTCCAGCTGTGGTACAGCAGCAGCAGGCTAGGTTTTACTGCTCCTGTAAGCCATTTTCTCAGTTGTTTCTGCAAACAGAAGGACATTTTTAGGCATTCTCTAACCTTTCACTATTTCTCATGGTTAAACTAGGTGCCTCCACAGTATGAAACTCAGTCATATTGGTTCAGATCTGCATGTGAGGCATCATTCATGCTGCCTCTGTGGATTTGCTTTTCCTGTTTAGGTACACACACACCCATTAATTATTTTTAAAATGTATAGCTATGGAGTAGAAAAGATTCTCTTACATGTATGAAGTAATGCAAAAGCAATTTCAACAGTAGGGGCTACAAATGAGAATTTAGTAAGGAATTTTTTTCCATATCTTTTCAGATGCTTGCTTAAGAATAGTACAAAAATATAGAGCATAGAGAATATCAGTATGAAAATAGACTATATGGAATACATGCTGTGTGGTTATAAACCACTTTTTATACCTAACAGTAGCAACACAGCTTTATATGCTACAAGTAAATTTGTCTTGGAATTGAAATTATTTTCTATTTACAGCCTCATTCTGAGGAAAGGACTGTACATACTCCTGACAGCTGCATTAGAAAGAAGAGCCCGGGCCTTCCTTTCAGCAAAGAAGTGCTCTCTTGATCTGCAGATGCCAGTTGTTTTCCACATGTGAAGTCCTTTTACACAAATGTCCTTTAACTATTGTGTTGCTCTTCCTGTAATTACTTGTTGTGTGCAGTGCTTCTTAGGAAAGTGTTGATGTTACCAACATATGAGGATGGTGTCTATCAGTTTTGATCAAGTAACTTCTGTAACAGATCTTAAGATAAATTCCAGACTTCCACAAAGTTGTTTTTTTTTTTTTTTTTATTAAGGGTACAGTGCTGAAGGTGGGAAAAGGAGTGACAGGCACTTTAAACTCAGACCATTCCTGATCATTGCTGGTACACAAATACCACTGTCTTTGCAAGATTTTTGTTATTCACCTGCCATGAGAATTGAATTACTTCTGATAGTGTTCTGTTATGGCGCTGCTTCTGTGATGTTTTTATTTTATGTGATTTTTACTATGCAGTAATTGTACTTCAATTGAAATAATTAATAACTTGAAGACATTTGTTTTTAGAAATATTCTTGCCGTAAACTTAGAAAAGGGATTGATACCTGTGCTTCCATTGTTGATATAAACTTCTCATTTTAAAACTGTTCCTAAAAAGAATTTGAACTCATGCTTGCATTTCTGAAGATTTTTCAGCAAGGTTGTGTCATTGGTCTCTAGGGCTGGTGTAGCTCTGCCCACATGAGGATGAGCAGTTTGAGGTTGGGCGTTTCTAAGCTTCAGTGTAACACTGCTGCAGCCACTGGCAGCAGAGAGCTCTGTGCTTCATCCAGTATCTAATTTACAGCAAGTGTCCAGACGAGACTTTGGAGAAGTAAGATTCTGTAATTACACTGTCGGTATAGCTGCCATTGTGGGGCTGAGGCTGGAGGGTCAGGCTGCCTCAGGGCTTTGGCACTGGTGTTGGGATATGGCCAGAGGGCTTGTGGCTGTGGGAGCGCTGTGCTGAGTGCATTGCCAAGGCAGCCCTTGCCTTGTGGCACCTCGGGGAGGGGGAGTGGGACTGAGGGGTGCTTACAGAGGTAGTTGACATTCCGTTTTTTATTTCTAGCTGGATCTGTTTTTCAGTTGTAACTTGATCTGTCGTAGTTTGAATGTGACATATTGAGATCTGACTTTGGGTCCCCTTGGAGGAATCATCTGTTTTGAGTATAAAGCAGTGGGTTAAGTAGGATGGAAACACTGGGTACTGTGTGCAGAGGTAGTTTGGGACATACCAAAAATGGGGAAGGTATCTCTTGGGTTTAAGTATGTTTGGCATTAGGGTGATGGCCAGCTAAACTATACAGCATTGCCAGCAGGATGGGAGATGTCTCATTGTTGGTCTTAGTCTCATCTTTGTACAGGAGCAGCTTAATACAGCCTGAAAATCCATAGGGCTGGAAAATTACTATTTTGGTTTGGGTCCTTGTGTCCTTAATGAAAATCCATAGAAACAGTAGGGCCTTTCAGACATTAGTTTAACCTATCTGGACAGCTAATTCACTTTGTAATGCAGGTTGAATTAAGAGAGTTGGTGTTTTTATTACGTACCCATTTTCAACATGTCTGTCTGATTCTTGGATCTCATAGGAATCCGTCAACTGCATTCTACCAAGCGTTCCATTTCAACAAGTTACACGAGTCAAAGACCACCTGGGATAGGTATGGATGCTTGAGTATGGAATGCATACATGCTGAGGTATGCATGAACTGCTTTGCTCTATGCGAGTTTCTCATTGTTTTTGTTTGCACAGAACTGCTGCCTGTGTTCAGAACTCCATATTGGGCTTCTGCAGTTTGAAGAAGTGAAAGTGATCATGGAAGTATTTGTTCTGAAACATGGAACTAAACTCTAAAATACGACATGACTTTTTCTCTTCCTCCTTCCATTATGCATGTATCATACATGATGCATAAGTTCAGAGTTTAATGCTAGTCAACCTTCACCAAAATATTTACAGCTTCCTTGTCCAAAAGAGGAGACTTTTTGGCATTGAGCCCTGTATCAGAAAACACATTGTGAAAATACTACATTTAAACACAATTTTGGCAAAGTTAAGATATTCCTGTCTTTAAACTGGGAAAAGAAGCTTTCTCGCTTACTTTCATTCTGCTCGAGTGAAGCTGGATGGGGAACGTGGACTGTGACAAAGTAAATCTCCAAAGTTAGCATTGAACTCATGGTGAGAAGCTGCAGTGAAGTGCAACAGTCTTACCTGGCATGGATAGGACTTGAGAGAGGTGCATTACTAATTCATCACTAGCTGCAAACTGTTCCTTTCTTGTGCTTTAGTGATTTTGAGGGATTTTTTTTTTATTTTTTTTTTTTCAGCATTAAGTCAAAGTCCTAGTGATGTGATTTAATGCCTTTAATGTGCTGCTCTGGCTTGTCAAAACTTCTGCTTAACAAGCTGTGTAGAATGTAAATTTTGTTTGGCTGTTGAAGTATTGATAACCATTTCATCACTGTCTTGGCTGTATTTGACTTGAAAGGCTTCTCAACTTGCACAGTTCAACTGAATCCTTTAAAGTTTGCTTGGCAACAGTTTGTATACTGCAGAGTGATGGTTATAAGTAATGCTAAGTGTCCTGCAGGTTTTTTAAAAATTACTTTGTATTGCTGGGGTGCTGGCATTAAGCGCAGTTTCAGAGCATGTCTTCCTTTTTCAGCAGAAAGACAAATTTGTGTTACTGCTTTAAGCTCTGGATGATGCTACTTCCCTGTATTTATGGAACAGAGCTGGTATTTAGGTTTCAAGGACTTTGTTATTTCACTGGAACAAACTTCAGAGCTTAGAATACACATTTGGTTTGTAGACCAAAAGGTCACTTTGTGGTCTAGCCTTTAGCTGTTTCTCTACTTTCATGTTGCAAAATAAGTCTTAATATGAGGAAGCTAATTCAAAAAAATCCTAAAATCATATAATAAATTATTAAGATGGAGGCTTTACAAATCTGAGATTTATGTACATTGCCTGAAGCAAATGCTGGAAATATGGGATATAGAAGAGCATTAGATTCAGGTAGAAGAATGTAAACAGTTGCGTTTAAAATAACCTTGCACCTTTGCTGGTGAACTCTTTGTGGTAAAAACAAACGTTTGTGAGAACACAGAATGAAATTCACCAGGATTGATGCATGTTTTAAACTGATAATCCATTCAAATTCCAAAGTCTTTGACTGGATTTTGCAGGTTTTGCATTTATACCCCAGTTACTGAGATTTTAAAGTCACATTAGGCAGCTTTCTTTCACTGGATGACTGAAACAGAGAAGCTTTCAGCTATAAACTTATAGTTTATAAGTTTATAAACTTATGTTTTCTTAAACTATAAACAGTGGAAGCTAGTGGAGGGAGCCAGGGGCATCAATGAGCAGCGCAGGGCTGTAACAGGAATGTGGTGTGGGGCTGCTTCTTGTCATCTCTGGTTTGGGAAAGAAAAATCACTGCTGTGGAAACAATAAGCTCGTGTGAGTTCCTCAGAATCCCTTTGTTTGCCCATCACAAAATGTGAGGGTTGACACACTGCAGAGCACCAGGACTGTGAGTCTGCTGGCAGTGAACTCTTAATTACATTTTGCAGCTCTTTCAGAAGTACTTTGTGAACCTGAGGGGCTTGACTTAGGAGACTTTGTAAACAGAAAATCTTTCTGTGTAATTCTAGTATTTTTTTCTAACAAATACGGATTATTCCCCTATGAGTAGCTGTCACTGGGGACCTGCTGAGGTCAGCAGAGCTATCTGCATGATACTGCAATAGGGAACAAGAGATTGCTGAACTGCTCCAGTGAATAGAAACTATTTTATTTTTCACCATCATGCTGTGGCAGGAAGAGTGCTGGTGACACTCAAACCAGTAAGTGTTAGGGAGATACTGGTTGTTACTGACACATTAGCAGGGATGTTTTCTTGCACAGTGCTCACCCAGGTGCTGCTGAAGACACGAGTCTCATGTGTTGGGTCTTTTCAACTGATGTGGTTTAAGGAAGGGGAGCAGTGGTTTCTTGGCATATTCACATGAGTCTGGGTGGTTGCTCTTTTGGGCCTGGGTTGTCTTTGCGCAGTAAAGGTGCCATACCAGCTTTATCTGGGTCTGCCTAAAGCACAGACATTATTGGTAGACTTGAATTAAAGTAGTAGGATTTATGTTTCCATTGCATTTATGTATGAAGTATTAAATCTTCACAATATGAATTAACTCATAAAATGTGTGTGGGAACTCCTGAGGTGGTGAATTCACTGCCTCAGGTTGTCACATATTTTCACATGCCTCTGACAAAGAAAAATAATGCAAGTTTGTAATACTCACAGAGATCCTCTTTCCAGACTGGGTAGGTGATTAGATTGCATTGGGATGCTATCATTATAAAATCTCTTTATGGGATAGAGGCTAATTAAATAGGCCTTAACTCTTTCAAGAATAGAAAAGATTTCTCTGGATAAACTGAATAACTTAACCATTGGTAAGACAGTAGCTCATAAATGAGGAAACAATGAGGGGAAAGAATAAATGACCACAGGACTTCAGTTCACTTGTAATCAAGTAGAAGCACTCCAGCGTACCTTACTGGTGTTTACAGAAAAGTTATTTGATAATTTGATTCAAAGCAGTAACAGCAAAAGGGAGAGAAGAGCTGGGGGTGGTCACTTGACTTGGGATTGTGTGTCAGACTTTTGGTAATGCCTTTCCCACTTACAGTGACTTAAAGGGAAGCACTTGTGGTGGTTTCCAGGAGGATTTGTCTTGCAGAAGCTGTTGGACAGAGCATTGGTGTCCCATGTCCTCTGCCCTGTAGGATCAGCTGTGAGATGAGATACATTTTATGCATCTAAAAAGCAAGAAAATTTCTGCCTTCTGGGAGTCTTTTGGGGAGTAACTTGGTGTCAAGAAATTCCTTAGGATAGTAGTATACAGATAATCATTAATAGAGCTGAACACAGAATGGTTTTTGTTACTGATTAAAAAACTTCAGAATTAGCTTACATCATGCAGTCAGTAGGATTTCAATCTCATTTCAGTGTGAAACACTATTACCTAGTTTAGTGCTTGAGTGTGCCAAAGTAGGCTCTGTATAACTCATTCCTAATATATCCAGCATTGGTGTAAAATACACACGTTACTGAGGTCTGTGGAATATCTAAAAACTAACCACTGTGCTTTTTTTAAGCATACAGAATGAAATAAGCTGCAAATACCTTTGAAGTTGGATTATTAGTCTTTTTTTACCTAGGTTTTGAGGTGAATTTGGAAGTTCAGAGTATGTTTCTTGGGAGGATGATAGTTGTATCTAATGGCATTAATGGTGAAAACAGCACACTGACTGCCATAGCGCTTGTTGAATTAATAATAGAAATGAATCTTGGTGCCCATGGATATGAGGTGGTAATGGAGGCTGTGGCCATTAGCAAGTTAACATTAAGATGTTAACCTTTTTTTTGTATGAGAAGCAGAAAAGACCTTGGTGTTGTGCAAGCCAAGTGCTTCTCAGCAATAATAAACACCATTTTCAGTGCAAATCCAAAGCAGAGCCCCATACCATCTACAATGGAGAAAATGAACTCTACTCCAGCCCAAAGCAGCACATTTTCTGCCCTTTATTTCATAAGTGTTTACCTCATGCTCAGGTCGCACACTCTGCAATACAGCCTCCTTAACCACCACCCCTTCCCATCCTTTGCTCTGATAATGGGTGCTGTTCCTGTAGTGTATGCACCAGGCCTGCAGCTTGTCCACAGATGTCCACTGAGATAATTTAGTCTGTGATTTTGGGCTCCATCTCTCATGGTGGTCACTCAGGACAGGAGAGGTGTGTGTGTTGCGTGGAGCTCTTGGACACTGAAGCTGAGTTAGGCTGGGTCCTGCAGCCTTCCTTGCTGTGCTCTTCACCACACACTGCCAGGCAGTCTCACACTCTCCCCTGCTCTAGCACAGCACCCACAGAGACAGTCCTCCTTGAACTTCTCCAGTTTGGGTCCTTCCCATGGGCTGCAGCTCTTCCTAAGCTGCTGCACCATTGGGTCCTTTCCACAGGGTCAGTCCTTCAGGAACAGGTTGCTTCAGATACTTCCAACACCTGCTCCAGTGTGCCAGAGGTTCTGCCGGGAGCCTGTCCCAACACAGACTTCCCAAGGCACCATGGCCTCTTTCAGGCACCCACCTGCTTTGGTGCTGGGGCTCTCCATGTGCTGCAGCTCAGGCTCTGCTGTCCCTTGACTCATCCACAGGTCACAGTCCTGCAGCTCCAGCCTTCCCAGTGTGTCAGTGCTGCTATGGGCACCTGCCAGCCCAGGCACGTGCTAGTGGCTGTTATCAAGTGTTCCAGGCACAGCAGTGAGGTGATAAGAGCAGTGTGGCAGCAGTGAGAGCAAAAAGTGGCCACTAACAAGCAATGGACTCAAGCAGACTCAGGCAAGCAAGCCCATGGCAAGCGTGGGAGGTTCCAGGCAATAACTGCACAGAAGGAACAGCTATCCATTCAATCTAGAACATCCCAGTCAAATCTGTCCTTACTTCAAACCCTTCCAACCCCATGTTGGGTGCTGTCTTGGTTTAATCCTGCTGGCACTAAGCCCCATGCAGCCACTCATTCAGCTCCCCCTCCTCCTAGAAGAGGAAAAGTGAGAGAACTTGCCAGTTGAGATAAAGAAAATTTAATAGGAAAAGCAAAATCCACCATCAAAATGAGTATTTCTCTGACAAGATGGGTTCTTGTCTACCTGGTGCTTAAGGTAGGAAAACATTGGGTTTACCGTCCATCTCTGGGAATGACAAACTGTGCTTGGGGTGGCTCTTTGGTGTTTTTGCTGACTGTAAATCTTGTCATGTACCTTGTGGGCTTCAATCTGAACTTGGTGTACCAATATAGTATCTTTTTGGGTAGAGCCTTCATTGACATGACCTTAAGTGGGAGGTCCAAGTCAAAATGAAATGTGCACTGTTCATTGTATCTGTTTGATACTTGGTGTGCTGCAGAAGCTCTGTGGGGTGGGAGTTTTGCTGTTAAAAACCAATACTACATGCCTAATGCACCCATTCATCTGCCCTGTGTGATGTGGATTTTTTTGCAGTTTTGACAAAAATTGCTAGACTTCTGTAGCTCTTGGAGCAATCAGTAATTGGTCTTTTTTCACAAGAGCTAAATGGTGTCTTTCCTCTTCTAATTCCAGGATTTGCAAGTTGAGGCATTGGCTCTACAGTGGATGGTGTATTCACAGAATGTGTCACTCTCACTTCATTTGTTCATCCAAAAAGACTTTATTTAGGAGATATTTGGGGTTTCTTCCTGGCCTTTTCATAAGGACTGGACTGTATTTATAAATGTCATTCTGCAGCCATGGGATAAAATATTTTTATGCAAACTGGAATTTGATGTCAAGAGTTTAGGATTTGAGAAAAGTATAAAATTTTAAGATTTGGCAGCACATTTGGAGTTCCCCATGAGAGTAGCTGTCACTGGAGGGCTCTGCTCATGAATGTCCCACAGGAGCTGCTGTTGGGAGCACTGTCAGATTAATAAAGAACAAAAGCATGTGGGAATTCTATAGCATCTAATTCTCATCTTCCTTTAGAAAGTGATATGAAGTACAGTCAGCTGATTTTATCCCGATGACAAACTGGGGCACCCTGTGTCGGTGTGGAGCTCCTGGTGGGTGTGTGGGGGTCTGTGTGGTCCCAGCCTCTGCCTGCTGAAGCTGGGCTGCGTACAGGGATCCAGGCTCTGCGTTTCAGTCTTGCTCTGCACATGGGGGCAGCAAGAGCCTTACAAAGGAGTGTATAAAGCTGCTTAGAGCTTTCAGCACTGTCGGTGTCGTGCCGAGTGTGGGGTCTGTGTGGTAAGGCAGTGCTTTTCCCGGCTCATTCCAATCCCTCTGCAGGGAGGGACGATTCCTACACCCACCCAACAGGCAGAGGGGAGCTCACAGCAAAAGGTGTGCACAGGGAGGGTGCCTCTGCAGCTCTTTGGGAGGCTAAGGGAAGGCTGCCTGTCTTTCTTATGGAACTGCTGGAATGCCTTTACTTGGAGTGATATAGCAGAGTTTATTTTTTAAAATAATCACACTACAGAATAGCTGAAACAGGGATAGAGCAAAGTTCCAATCTCAAGTTTGACTAGACAGGTATTGACAAAAGTTTTACGATTGTGCTGCAAAGATGGGGAAGTAGATCCCCCTGCTATGGTTGGTGTTTGCTTTAATTGTTTTATTTAATTCTCTTGCTGTTACCTCTTAGAGCTGCCTCATCTGACCTGTAGGGTGGTGTCTGTAAAGGACTGTGAGAGGACAGGGAGTCTTGGGGATTTTGTGGTTCATGGACACAGATACTTCTGACAGTGCCAGATGACTCTGATGCATGTTAATTCAACATGGAAAGGAATACTTCCCTTGGCATGAGTTATAAAGAGCTTTTATTCTGAGGAGGTTTACCATAGATAGGGTTTGAAAGAGGCTTAGAAGACAATAAGAGACTAGAACAGTTTTCTTCTGAAATGTGTGTTCAGGGCTTTTGGTTTGGGTTTCAAGATTGGTTCAGTAGAAATAGAGGCTGTTATTCCCTCAGTCTGCAAACCTGATGCCCTCTGCTTGTATAAGCCCAGTGCTGGTGCTGACAGTTCTGTGGGAGCCCTTAAAATTAACTTCTCTGACCAGTATCACTCTTCAGGAGCTGAGCCATGTTTCACATCTGTGACTAGTACTACTGACCACATTGCCATACTCTTTGTAAAAAGCCTTGAGTGGTTTTTTTATTAACACTTGTGTTTGGTGAGTTGCACAATTCCAGAGAGGTGAGTTTTCCAGCATGACTGCAACCCTTGCATTTTCCCCATGTTAACTCTACTAAACGTGGCTGCACACTGCTGATAGCTGTGTCCATGGCTGGGAGTTTTATCAGCAGCTCTCACTGGTGGGGCTGTCGCAGCCCAGGAGCCGCTGTGTGTGTCAGGGACCCCTGAGAGCCAGGGTGGGAGGGTAGTGTGGAGGGTGGGGAGGTGGCTGCTTGCAGGCTGCAGCTTTGCATGCCCCCAGGAGAGCTACAGCTCCTCTCTGAACAGAGAAACCAGAGTCTGGGGGAGATCAGGGACACTCCCGGCCTGCTGAAATCCAGCTCCAGAGCTGCGAGTGAGGAACTGGCTTGTGTGCCTGTGGTGGGACTTGGAAACAGACCCTGGCTATTGGGGGCTGCATTTCCATCCTGCAACATTCAGAGATGCAGTTTGGGAGTGAATACACATCCTCACAGTGTGCTCTGAGGTGCACCAGTGTGTCTGTGGAACAAGCCTGGCCTTAGCTGTGACCCAGGGCCATGTGTTTGTCAGCTGGCAGGAGGATCCGGGGAGGATTCACTGGGAGCCAGGAAGTGGCCGCAGGCTCAGGGCTCTGGCTGTGTCTCACCCTCCTGCTGGCTGCTGCCACAGGCTGCCACAGGAGCTCCTTGCCTGGAAGGTGGACTCAAGTGAATCCAGAGAACAAGTATTATAACAGGATTTTTTCTTCATTGCTTTATAAAAACAGTTTGGAAGAAATAATGCTCATGGTAAGAATCCTATGAATATCCCATGAATACTTGTTTTTCCTCAGTGAAGAAAGCTGGAAAATGAGGCCAGGATTCAAAGCAGTTGATTTGGTGTTTATTCTAATGCATTTTTATGGTTCTGGGTGTCATAAGCCCAGTATGAGAAAGGTATAAACTGAATGAGCAGTATTTCTTGTGAGTTACAACTGTGCTGGGCAACTGGGTGGGGTGAGGGCTGGGAGGGACATGGGGCACCCCCCTATGAGTGTATACTGAATTCTTCAATTCTTGACTCTGAGCTTCAGCCTTCCAGTGACAGCATGATCCAGGAGTCCTGCGGGTGTGTAGTTTTACCTGAGTGATACCGAGTAATAACACCAAGTTTTCTCATTGTATTTACAGTGCGTCTGGTGCAAGTGTTGTTGCTATTGACAACAAAATAGAGCAGGCAATGGTAAGTAAAATATAAGTTGTTATTTCTAATAGGATTGATATGGTTCGTCACTGAGCATAAGTTTCCTGTTGTATTGTGTTTCTGTGAGGCTGTGATACCCCTCCAGGTGAGTCAGTCTGAGAACATTGATTGAAAAAAATGATAGAAAAAAGGATTTTCTGTATCAACTATGAACGACCACAAACCATTATTGCTTTTACTGTTGGCCCAGAAATGTTTTTCAGTTAATTTTCTTGCAAATTGCTGTGAACAAGGTGATTGAACTTGAAAGAGTGCTGAAAATATAGTGCATATTTCAGTCTGTTACTCTAGCCAAGTTCATTACTAGTTTTTCTGAAGGGTCAGGTACGCCATCCTTACTTAACACGCTGCTCAGCTTCAGTTAGAGCTGTTGGATTTTTGCTTATGATGTAAAAGCTTGTAGATTTGACTGGGCCTGTGTACCACAGACCCATATCCCTAGTCATCAGAGCTGGTGCTTTCCTTCTGAGGAGCTGGGACATCATTCTCACCCTTGGCTTCCATGTAACCGAAGTGACCGGGGTGCTGGAGACAAAGCTTTTGATATCAGGCCCACTTCATAAAAGGGCTGGGTTGTTTGTGCTCGAAGGCTGATTTATTTATAAATATTTGGTGATGAGTGCTTTGTTTTTCCAGGCTTACTGCAGTGAAAGCAGTAAGTCCTGGGGCTGGGGTGAAGGAAACTCTTCTTTCCCGTGGTGTAACTGTCCACTTGTTCTTTGCAGGATCTAGTGAAAAGCCATTTGATGTATGCAGTGAGGGAAGAAGTGGAAGTCCTGAAGGAACAAATAAAAGAATTAGTTGAAAGAAACTCTTTACTTGAACGAGAAAATGCACTGTTAAAATCCCTTTCCAACAACGATCAGTTATCCCAGCTCTCAAGCCAACAGGCCGGCCCCAGCAGCACCTCGCAGGCGCAGCCCCCGGCCGCGCAGCCGCCGCAGCCCAACGTGTCCTCGGCGTGAGCGGCCGCTCCGTGTGCCACCGCTGGCTCCCACCCGCCCGGAGCGAGCAGCCATGCTTCTGTTGTGTGTTTGGCCTTTTCAGTATTAGACAATCATCCTCCCGGGGCCGAGCCCCGCCGGCAGCTGGGGCTGCAGCGTGGGAGGTGTCCGCACTCCTCGCTGCGCACGGGAGGTCGCGGAGGAGTCCCTGCAGTCCCCTGGGCGTCGGGAGGGAGGTCTGTTAGAGCTTGGGTGGCTCTCCGAGGTTCCCATTGCTCCTGGGTTGCTTTGAGCCTTGCTGTCCGGTAAGGAGCAACGATTCCTCTTCAGAGCCACTGTTCTTTTCATATAAGTAACATTTGCCTATGTTAGTTTCATTTATTTGTTTTATTTATTACAGGGCTGCTATTTTCATAATGTACATGAACAATGTCACAGAACTTTTGAATTTTTTTTTTAATAAATGTCTGTATGGGTAAAATGATAGATGGGATTGAGTTAATAGATACAATGTCTAGGCAATAATTGAACAAAGAATCCTGGCATATTTCTAACACTAATGGCAATTGACCTTTGGTATTTATTTACGGTAGTAAAGATCCAGCTTGAATGTAAATTTTGTATAGAGTGTAAGTATGAAGACCATAGTGCATCTGTACAGGTAGTCACCAGTCCTTGTGATATAATAAATAAGCGATGGGCTATTTTGATGAAGAAAACTTTGCTCATTTCTGTTTCTACTTTCTAATAGAGAGAAAGGGGCCATGATTCCTCTGCTTTTTGACATTTCGTTTTTGGTTTAGTTTTTTGGGTGGGAATAAAAAGCTGTGAAATTGTTCAACCTACTTTGTAACCAAAGAAGCAAAGCTGTGTAATTGAGTTGGTTGTTGGTTTTTTGTTTTGTTTTGTTGGCTTTTTGTTTGTTTTTTTTTTTATTTTATGATGCACATTCTTTATGTATTTTTATTTAGTGTTTTCTCATTCACAACTTTCTTTGCTGTCTCGCATGATCTGCATGACCTGTAATCTTTGAACCACTTCCGTACCTCATGTTTTTATCCAGCACTCTTAGTGTAATATGTACTAGTCTGTGAACAATGTCAGTAAAGAGAAAGAACAGCTGGTGTTGGTGGAGCTAAGCTAGTGTGCTAGGCACTAGTTGTTAAAACAAATAAATGAAGTGAGCCATCTTTTGTTCATTTAAAATGGTGTTTTGAATTTCGTATGCAGAAAAAGTTTTGTTACATTGCAGATTTAATGTATTTAATAAATGCAACATGCAGATTAAATGCAGTGTATACTGAGTATTTAAATTAAAAATGTACATTTCATAAATACAGTTTCAAGAAAGACCATCATTTGTGTAAACTAATGCAGTGTGTCAAATTGATGTACAAATATATATATATTTTAACACATTTTCTGAAATTAAACCAGTTTTGTTGACTTTTTTGGCTGTAGATGTTGTTGCAGTATAATTAAATTCAGTAGCTCTTTTCTGAACAAAATGGAGAAATGCAGTGTCAGTTGAGGCAGTAACAGACCAGTGCCAGGGTTACCACTTCTAATGCAACAGACTGGTTTCTTCTCTTCTAGGAGAAGCATCTTCAAATGCTGGCAGTGGCTGCCTTAGGGGTTTGGGTTTGCACTGATTGCTGTAAATAAACATCTGGGCCTGCTCAGTCTCTACTGTGAGTGTCTGCTCCAGTACCTGAGTGCTGAGCAGCTCTAGCTCTGCTCAGGTTTATGGCTAAGGTAAAACACTGCAAACTGCAGGTTTTGATGTCTTCGCATCTCAAAGTGTCCGTGTCCCAGAAACTGAGAAGCATCTCCTCCTTCTGGTAAGCATCAGTTCAACACAGTTCAGACCATGTATTGTGTGCTTATTAAAAAGTCCTCACTAAGGTAACAGCAAAATGATCTCTCTGTTAGGTGTGGATTGGTGTTTTCTGCCTGCTGCACCCCTTTGCTGTGAGCACTGCTGAGAGACCTTAGTGCACACAGATTAGAAAGTAAAATATTCCAGTAGCTGTGTCTGTTTCCTCTCCAGTGCGATCAGTGGTTCGCTCCAACTGTACAGTGAGGAAGATGCTGGTAAAGTAAGAAAAAGGGGACAAATTAGGGACTTCTGGGAACAAGAGTCCCTCAGGTGAGTAGTTGATTAAAACTTCTATGGAGGATACACTGAAGCTGTCAGTTCATTTTTGAATGAAACAGGACAGAGGTATCTGAACCTGACTCAGGTGGTCATTGTTTGGCTGCTGGGAGCAGGGGGCGAGGACAGCTCTGCTCCCCTGGGTGAGCTGTGAGGCGCTGGCAGGCGCATCCTTCACACAGGCGCGTTCTCCAAAAGCAAAAAGCATCTAGGAAATCTGAAAAAGGGGATGAAACAAAGATGGAACTGATCCTGTTAAAAAGCCTTTGCTCTGCTCCTGTCAGGTTTGCTTTGGGGGTTTGTGTTTATCCTAGAGATAAGTTGTATTCAGCTCTGGACAGCTGCTCGGCTTGTGAGAGCACTGAACTGCAGAAGGAGTCTGGGAATGCTGCGGCCTTTTCTCCAGAGGCGGCCTGAGGAAAAGGCACAGCGGTTCTCACAGTGGGCCCGCCGTGCTGTCGGTGTGTGTGTGTGTGTGTGTGTGTGTCTGTGTGTCTGTGTGTCTGTGTGTCTGTGTGTCTGTGTGTCTGTGTGTCTGTGTGTCTGTGTGTCTGTGTGTCTGTGTGTCTGTGTGTCTGTGTGTCTGTGTGTCTGTGTGTCTGTGTGTCTGTGTGTCTGTGTGTCTGTGTGTCTGTGTGTCTGTGTGTCTGTGTGTCTGTGTGTCTGTGTGTCTGTGTGTCTGTGTGTCTGTGTGTCTGTGTGTCTGTGTGTCTGTGTGTCTGTGTGTCTGTGTGTCTGTGTGTCTGTGTGTCTGTGTGTCTGTGTGTCTGTGTGTCTGTGTGTCTGTGTGTCTGTGTGTCTGTGTGTCTGTGTGTCTGTGTGTCTGTGTGTCTGTGTGTCTGTGTGTCTGTGTGTCTGTGTGTCTGTGTGTCTGTGTGTCTGTGTGTCTGTGTGTCTGTGTGTCTGTGTGTCTGTGTGTCTGTGTGTCTGTGTGTCTGTGTGTCTGTGTGTCTGTGTGTCTGTGTGTCTGTGTGTCTGTGTGTCTGTGTGTCTGTGTGTCTGTGTGTCTGTGTGTCTGTGTGTCTGTGTGTCTGTGTGTCTGTGTGTCTGTGTGTCTGTGTGTCTGTGTGTCTGTGTGTCTGTGTGTCTGTGTGTCTGTGTGTCTGTGTGTCTGTGTGTCTGTGTGTCTGTGTGTCTGTGTGTCTGTGTGTCTGTGTGTCTGTGTGTCTGTGTGTCTGTGTGTCTGTGTGTCTGTGTGTCTGTGTGTCTGTGTGTCTGTGTGTCTGTGTGTCTGTGTGTCTGTGTGTCTGTGTGTCTGTGTGTCTGTGTGTCTGTGTGTCTGTGTGTCTGTGTGTCTGTGTGTCTGTGTGTCTGTGTGTCTGTGTGTCTGTGTGTCTGTGTGTCTGTGTGTCTGTGTGTCTGTGTGTCTGTGTGTCTGTGTGTCTGTGTGTCTGTGTGTCTGTGTGTCTGTGTGTCTGTGTGTCTGTGTGTCTGTGTGTCTGTGTGTCTGTGTGTCTGTGTGTCTGTGTGTCTGTGTGTCTGTGTGTCTGTGTGTCTGTGTGTCTGTGTGTCTGTGTGTCTGTGTGTCTGTGTGTCTGTGTGTCTGTGTGTCTGTGTGTCTGTGTGTCTGTGTGTCTGTGTGTCTGTGTGTCTGTGTGTCTGTGTGTCTGTGTGTCTGTGTGTCTGTGTGTCTGTGTGTCTGTGTGTCTGTGTGTCTGTGTGTCTGTGTGTCTGTGTGTCTGTGTGTCTGTGTGTCTGTGTGTCTGTGTGTCTGTGTGTCTGTGTGTCTGTGTGTCTGTGTGTCTGTGTGTCTGTGTGTCTGTGTGTCTGTGTGTCTGTGTGTCTGTGTGTCTGTGTGTCTGTGTGTCTGTGTGTCTGTGTGTCTGTGTGTCTGTGTGTCTGTGTGTCTGTGTGTCTGTGTGTCTGTGTGTCTGTGTGTCTGTGTGTCTGTGTGTCTGTGTGTCTGTGTGTCTGTGTGTCTGTGTGTCTGTGTGTCTGTGTGTCTGTGTGTCTGTGTGTCTGTGTGTCTGTGTGTCTGTGTGTCTGTGTGTCTGTGTGTCTGTGTGTCTGTGTGTCTGTGTGTCTGTGTGTCTGTGTGTCTGTGTGTCTGTGTGTCTGTGTGTCTGTGTGTCTGTGTGTCTGTGTGTCTGTGTGTCTGTGTGTCTGTGTGTCTGTGTGTCTGTGTGTCTGTGTGTCTGTGTGTCTGTGTGTCTGTGTGTCTGTGTGTCTGTGTGTCTGTGTGTCTGTGTGTCTGTGTGTCTGTGTGTCTGTGTGTCTGTGTGTCTGTGTGTCTGTGTGTCTGTGTGTCTGTGTGTCTGTGTGTCTGTGTGTCTGTGTGTCTGTGTGTCTGTGTGTCTGTGTGTCTGTGTGTCTGTGTGTCTGTGTGTCTGTGTGTCTGTGTGTCTGTGTGTCTGTGTGTCTGTGTGTCTGTGTGTCTGTGTGTCTGTGTGTCTGTGTGTCTGTGTGTCTGTGTGTCTGTGTGTCTGTGTGTCTGTGTGTCTGTGTGTCTGTGTGTCTGTGTGTCTGTGTGTCTGTGTGTCTGTGTGTCTGTGTGTCTGTGTGTCTGTGTGTCTGTGTGTCTGTGTGTCTGTGTGTCTGTGTGTCTGTGTGTCTGTGTGTCTGTGTGTCTGTGTGTCTGTGTGTCTGTGTGTCTGTGTGTCTGTGTGTCTGTGTGTCTGTGTGTCTGTGTGTCTGTGTGTCTGTGTGTCTGTGTCTGTGTGTGTGTC